GCAGGCCGTATACAGTCGGTGGGTCGGGTGTCGGCTGCCGATAAGGCTGAGTATGTGACTCGCCCTCGGGCAAAGGGGGTCTGGTTGTTGATGAGCTCGGCCATAATGACCATTGCCTCCATTGCGATGTTCTGTAAGTCGGTGACAAGGAATGGCGTCGGCGTGCAGGTGGGATTGTGTCGGATGGTTACCTTGGTGGTCATGAGGATGTCGCTCTTTTCAGCTGTAGCACCTCTGCTTGCTCAGGCATGTCGTCGTGGTTGATGCGCTTCGGATAGGTCAGCGCGTTCGCCAAATAGCGGTTGGCATACTGAGGCAGGCCCCTCTGTCGCTGACTCATGTCGAACAGGTGTGTACCCCGCAGTTCGTGGGACACGCGATAGCTGCTGAGAGCCCATGCCACGTACGCCACGGCCTGGTCGCATTCAATGCGGAGACCGTCCGCTGTTGCGTCCCTGTTGGCCGCCAGAGCGAGCATGTGGTCGTAGTGGTAGGCGATCGCCTCCTTTTCCTTCTCCTCGTCCTCGTCCTCGTCCTCCTCCTCCTCCTCGTCCTCCTCCTCCTCCTCGTCCTCCTCCTCCTCCTCCTCCGACGACGACGACGACGACGACGACCGTCTCGTCCTCCTGCTGCTTCTCCGCGTCCCCAGTCCTCCTCCTCCTCCTCCTCCTCCTCCTCCTCCTCCTCCGAAGCATCATCATGTTGCTGCTGTTCCTCTGTCCTCCTTCACCTCCTCGTCCTGATCCTCCTCGCTCCTCGTCCTCGTTCTGATCCTGCCTCCTCCCCAACATCCTCCTACTCATCACTACCGCAACAACACTGGCTGTCCGCAATCCACCCACGCGCGCGCGCTAGCCCCCGCATGCTGGGCACGGCTGACCCGTGAGCGGGCCCCCCCGAACGCCACCAGGGGACCATTTCCGAAAGGGGGGAACTGGGGGAGGCCACCAACCACCCTGCTAATCCCAAGGCCCACGGAGGAGAAAGGATGAGGAAAGGGAAGCGGCCGGGCCGCTCAGTAATAGGAGCGGTCGGTCCCGAGGACGGCGCACATTACGCATGGCGTCGTGCATGGCGCACCTCGTCCGCAACGCTGAGGACGAAGTGCGTTTCTCCATGCCTTCGGTCGCATAATGTCAGTATCGTAGTATCGATTGCTCTGGCAGCGTATGTCGATCGACCCGAGTAATCATCCTCATCGATAAACCTCGCGCACGTTTGGTGCGTCCGTACTGGATCGTTTGCGAGGTGCGCTTGTTGTGCTTTCCTGATGTGGACGGCAGGCCGTAGTTGATGTAGAAGTCCTGCGTGGTCGCGTTGCCCTGGGAGTCCCACAAGTCCACGTAGCGTGTGGCACCGCATGCAAGGAGAGTTAGTGGACTTTGACTTCCCCGTCCAGGTCCAGCTCGTTGTGATTGTAGCTCATGTTGTAAATCCTCTTGTGCGTGTACTGGCCTGGTTGCATATCGTACTGTGGCTGGTGTAGTTTGGCAATCATCAACTTCTTGAACTCGCCGATAGTTGGTGCGCCTTTGTCGATCTCAAGCGCGACGCAATCGCATTAAATAATCAAACATCAGCGCCGAGTCGCACGACTGACTCTGCTCCTGCCTCCTCCTACTCCTCCAAATCGCCCTCCTCCGCCACCCACTCTGCATCATCATCCCTCCACCTCCTTCCCCCCCGATATCACCATCCATCTACAGCTGCTCCTCATACTCTTCCAACCTCCTTTCCTTCCCCAAGTTCCCCCCCATCCTCCTCGATCTCCTTGTTTCTTCTTTATAATGCTGATGATCCTTTCCCGCCAACCACCATTTCTGCTCACATGGTTCCCATCCTCCTACCCCCTCCTTCCGCACGATCCTCCTCCTCCTCCTCATCCTGCTCTTCCTCCTCGTCCGCCTACTATTACTACCACTATTAATCCTGCTGTTGCTACTACTAGCATCACTACGACTACTGCCACCAGCACCACCCCACCACCACTACTACTACTACAACTGCTGCTGCTGCTACTACAACTACTACTGCAAGTAGTACGGCGACTGCTGCTACTACTACTACTACGACGACTACTACTACTACTACCACTACTACGACTAATACTACTACTACTACTACTACTACTACTACTACTACTACTACCACTACTACTACTACTACTACTACTACTACTACTACTACTACTACTACTACTACTACTACTACTACTACTACTACTACTACTACTACTACTACTACTACTACTAGACTACTACTACTACTACTACTACTACTACTACTACTACTACTAGACTACTACTACTACTACTACTACTACTACTACTACTACTACTACTACTACTACTACGCTACTACTACTACTACCTACTACTACTACTACTACTACTACTACTACTACTACTACTACGGCTACTACGTACTACCTACCTTCTACGATTACTACTACTACTACTACTCCTAACTACTGCTACTACTAACTACTACTACTACTACTACTACTACTACTACTACTACTACTACTACTACTACTTGCTACTAC